GAAGCAGAACCTATTGTTTTTTCCTGGTATTTTTTATATCTATTAACAACTCTTTGATGTATTTCCGTTGTCATACTTTTTTTGTTAATTCATAATTGCAGAACTGTCTCTTAAATTGGCACAGTGAATTTATTTTGTAAAATAAACTATGCGAACAAAATTTGAACGTAAAATGTTAAAACAATTTTCTCACTGGCGACTTGTTTCTTCTCTACTACTATTATTTATTTCCTAGTCTATATATATATATTTTTTTTTCCGTTATAATTGTTAATTTGTACAGTAACGGTTGATTAATTGAATCGTTAAAAATCATTTTGAGCTTCGATACTTTTTGTAGTTTTAAATTGTGTGTGTTTATATTATTATTATAGGTCAAAATGTAAGTACAAACATTTTATAATGTTAATTAACCGAAACTCGCAACACAATAATATTATTACTGGATATAGCGGTTTTATTAAAATTTAAATATTTATGACGGTGAACAGAGTTTTATATGTCGTTAACCCAAACTCGGTACTTTCACCCACTTACCACTTATTCATGCAATGACTAAGAATTAAGATTTAGTTTGAATTTTGAAAATCTACAGGAAAGTTGGGTCAACTTAAAAACAGTACATAAAATTCAAAATATACAACTTTCTTTGTCGTTCTTCTAATTGATTTTCTAACCCGTTTGCAGAAATCCTATTCAGGTCTGTTTTACATACTTTACTATAGAATGAAAAGTAGAAAACGCACCTACAAGTATGTACTTGTCAACTCGGTAGACAAATCAATTAACACACGACACACTGACCAAACTACTATTTGTGCGTCATTACTTCTTACTTTTAACAATAAACAATTACCATTCATTCATTGGCTCGGTTGACACAATGTACCTTTAATATAATACAAGTGCAGTAATTAGTGTCGAGTTTATGTTCATGTCTTTGGTTTCCTAAGTCGATCCGGAAATACTGTTTCGAAACCGAATTGCCGTCCATTTATTACTAATGAAAACGTTTAGCGAATTATATTATATATATATAATAACTATATTATTTTCTAATAAAATCAACGCTTAAAAATAATAGTTATAATATTACCAGTAGGCGGTAGAAAAAGCTGTGTTTATAAATAGTAAATGGTTTATTATTTTCTCTATTAAACCGTATTAAACAATTTATCGGTTGAGCAATAATAATTTATAATCTCATAAAATAACTGTTCTCTTAAGCATTAATTATACTTAATAATAACAGACTCAAACTACTTAATTCTTCGACTATGTTAAACGATCATTGTATTAGTCATTTTACAGTGTCGCAATAAAAAAAAAATTATATTTTTTAAACGAATTGCAAAATATGTGTTTTATTCGCCAAGTAAGAACTTGGCGTACCTAAAGCGAGTGTTCGATGAAAATATTCAAGTGTAAAATATTATGTTAAAATAAATTCTGTACTCGATTTCCAAAACATGAGAGTGCAAAACAATTCCTTTTTAAGGTTGGGCTGGTCAAAAATCAGTTTATATTTAATTTATAATGTTGAAAGTGTGGCTGGAGTAACGTTGCTTGTGACTTTTTTAGCAAAGAATATTTTGAGACTAGCTGCATTAGAATACGTTAGAGTCAATTCTCAAATATATACCGATGGATAGTGATGGTTTAACAGCCTTGTATCCATTATCAGTGTTTGGAACAATAATTAACTAAAAAAGCTCCCCTGTAAAATGAAATCAACAAAACACTCAATACGTTGCTTCAGGCACACCCCTTCAATTATGATTCAGTTGATATCATGACAAAAGCAATCGCTGGCCAATACGGTTACACTGTCAATTGAATAGGGGAGTTATCCAGTTAGGAAACATGTTCCAAGTTCTTTAGTTCTAACATAAATTTGCACTTTTTCTCGTTTTAAGGGGTTGCATTCGGGGACGTTTGGTTTCTTTTTTCCAGTTCTTTACCATGGTGCAGCATAGCTACCTATAGTTCTACTTATAAGCCGTTTCCACTGCACGTACATGTATAAGTACATCATTTACTGGGTCAAATCATGATACAGTATTTATTGTATATAATATATATATATATATATATATATATACAGAGAAAGCGGCGGCGGCGTGCAGTAGCACCTCATAGAGATGGAGATGTGTATAATAGCAGGTGAAACTGCTCGTTGGCGCATATATGCAATTTGTGTACTTAAACTGGAAAGTAAGTACGTGCGGGCGTTTAGCGCAAACGTGATATATATATATATATATATATATATATATATCTGTGTACCGTACAATGAAGTATTTCGATTATGATCTAAATCGCCCAAGTCTTTTGCGCTTGGCGTTTCATATTCAGAATCCGTTCGAATCGGCCGCGGCCACGGTCGACATAATAATGATGATGATGATAATAATAATAATAATTATTATCATTATTTTCCATTTGCCATAGCGTCGGCGTTAACCTACCGGCCGTGTAAACTTTCTCGCAAATTGTTTCTTCTTTTTTGTTCTTCAAACAAACGTACTGTAATATGTTCTTTTTAATTTTTAAGCAAATTTTCACAACCGCCAGTCGTCGCGAACAAAAAAAACGCAAACAATATTACTCCGTCGAATTGACTTTTGTGGGTTTTGTAGTTATTTTTCATGTTTTGTTTTTATACAAAATATCATGTTCTTAGCAAAACCTAACCGGATCATTAGGTAAACGCGTTCGAAACCGTCACGCTCATTTACACATTGACTGACTGTGTACTTTTTGTACCATTTATTTTTGAACACATTTCTTTTTGTCCGTCTGTTTTTTTTTTTTGGCCCGGTGTTGAAACCAGCAATTGGCCATACAAGCAATGGAATCAACCGGTTATGGCGGTGTATTGCCATTAATATTATAATTATTATTTTTCGTTGTAATCGTCTCCGTGCATCTGTTCCGACCGAATAATAATAATTGCTCGAGTTCGCGACCTTGTAACGTTTTTACCGGGGAAAAGTACGCAGAGCGTGAAAAGCTCTTTAGAAAAAAAATAATAAAAATTCCCTCTCGTTTCCTTCCATTAGCGTCATTTCGAATTTTTAAGTAAAAAAAAAAAAAACATTATGATAATTATTACTATTCAGCGACACGACTCGGGAATCGGACCCAAGGTAAACGTACAAATATAATCTAATATACAATATATGTGTACCTACATTTATGTATATGTACCGAGTCTGAGAGAAAGGATATATTTTACAATACCCGGTTGTCCTCGACACACCACATCTTTTTTATTTTTTTACAACACTACACAAACACACGCGCACACACACCTACATAATGATAATTTCGACCAACCTGTGTACCGTGTGTATAACGTACCTATCTATACTAGTCCTATGCCCTCTAACACTGCCTCCGCACAAACTATTGTTTTTTTTTTCCCATTATTTTCCTTTTTGTGTTTGAACAACCGTCCGTGTGTGTGTGCAAATGCTTCGGCATAGGTTTTTGTGTTTTCCGTCCTATCCGTCCTCCTATTGATGCGCCCGTATATGACAGCGGGGAAGAGCAAAAAAAAAACCAACAGACCTCAGTGTTCATTGGATTGGTTTTTTTTCTCTTCCATAACATAGATAGAAAGTGTCTGCGGTGATTGGTTTTTTTTTTTTCGATAACGTTCCTCGTACAAAGCGAACGGCGAACGCGGTAATTTTCCGATTAGGTCAGGTCGTTTGTGTGTGCTGATCTCTATGAACTCTGCGAGAAACGGCGGCTTACGGTGCAAAACGGTCTTAACGTTTTCGTGCACGGTTTCTATTACGCGATAAAAAGAAAGAAAGAGATAATAATAATAACAACCATTTCGAGTTTGTTACTTTTTTTTCCCTTGCTGCCCTGTCGCCTCCATTGTTCGTTGACGGGAGATTTCTCCGTGCAAACATGAGATTTTAACGCACGCAGCGTCTCTCTGGTTGTTTTCCCTCTGTGGTCACACAGATCAACAGTAGTAGTAAACAAACTCCACGGAAATTACAATATTTACTTGTTTTGTTTACACATTAATAATATGACGGCCGACTGAATAGATTTGCATGTATTGCATATTTTGTCACTAGACAATATTGTAGGTCGGGCTAATGGCTAGGATCTTGCTGGGCCGTTACAAACAAATAACAAGAATGCGGACTGTGTAAAACCATGATGATATTATATTAACAACGGCATAGCGCCATCAGGTATCATAAGTGCAAAATTTTGTTCGTGCAATTTTACACGATGGCCGTTTAAAAATGTATACATTTATCGTAATCCTACACTATTTCGTTAAATCGAGCTTAGGAAATTTGTATCTTTGGTCTCCAAATGTTTGTAAACAATGTGTATAACGTTATTGGAGTTAAACGCTGATGTAATTTCTCTTAAAGTATATACTGCGTGATGATTATGTCATCGATAATTTAAAAACAAAATGTGTTGCATAATAAGAGTTGAATATGGCTATTTTTTAGTTAGTTTTTAGTTTCGTAAAGGTTTACAGTAGAAGCTTTACAGCAAAATGTGATTACTCTGAGAGATGTCAACCTACTTCCCGTAAAGTATTTTTCATATAACCCTAAAAATAAATTGACACTATCAGAATTCAAAAATAGCTGATATTTTTACAGTTTTTACGGCACCCTCAAGTCGATCGCTGTAGTACGACTGTGTGTGTTAACAGCTATTTCTATTGGGTTTCAACGAGCGGTTCGTGGCCTAGTGAAAACTAGCCGTATTATAATTTTTATAATAATAAAACGATTATTATTATTATAGTCAGTGACTTTCTTCGTCGGAAATGGAGTGTGACGGTTACTGTACGCCAGACCGTTGCCGACGTTTTATTTTTTTTTTTTAATATTGTAATTTTTACCGGTACCAACAGAGTGTATTGTAGAGTCCGAAGACTCTCTACAGCCGTCGTCTAGTGTAAGATTTTTAAATTGGAAAAAATATATATACATTGAACACAAACTCACCGGCGGCGCTTCGGAAACGTACACCTCGTGGGCAGGGTAGTCCGTCTTCATGCTTATGCTGTCGTCGGCCGCGGTCCCGGCGGCTGCGGCTGCGGCCTCTTGTTGTTTGTCCATGGCGGGGCAACAACGGCAGAGGATTTGTTTTTCGATATTGTTTAATTGATTTGATGTTTATTGTATTTTGTATTCGGCTGCTTTGGTCGCGGCGAGACGGACTTATTTTATTTAACAATAATTACAGCAGAAATATATTTCGGATACCACCGGACTGGGACTGAACTGTTCAGGCAGCGACGGCAAAAGAAGAACGGACCACCGCGGCTTTCCACCACCGCCGTCGCCCAAACCCGTCGTTTTGGAAGGGGCGCGATTAACTCCCACGCCACAGCAACAGCAGTACAACACAGCACAACTCGACCGTCACCTGTTTCGTACACAACAATATTTAAATTTAAAAAAAAATACACAAGTATTAAGTATGATAATACACAGTCACGTAAGCTATAGCCAGCAGCCTATATACAGGATGATAAATTTAACGCAAAACACTCCTATTCTCGGCAAATAATTGAGATTTTGTTATTTTTCATATTGAAAACATGTTTTCTTTTAATGTTATAAAATTACTAACTATTTGACTTTTTACAACTTTCCATAGCTCTATCGACTTTTGAGACTTGAATGGTAACCTACCAACTTTTCAAACTAAAAATCGACCAGTCAACGTTTTCAGAAAATTATTCTTAAAATAAAAATTTTATTGAATACACACTTAACCCTTATTAGTTTTAAAAGTTAATAGAGCTTTTGAAAAACATGAGTATTGTCTAATATTATGAAATACATAACTAAAGTGTCCCCGAAAATAAAAACTAAATTGCAAGTATTTTAAGAAAAAATTAGTGTCTTACCACCCGGTAACTATATTATCCTAGTAAGATATCCTGTATGAGTGATTGTTGTTGTTCGCCAAGTCTGTGTGCTGTTATTTAAACGACCTTCGGCGCCGGATTGTTTACAAATTTCAAGTCTCGGTTTTGGTAATAATTTTTTTTTTTTTGGAAAATTGTCAACTGGTAAACGCGCAAATCCGCCATTTTTATCGTCGTTATTACCGGTTTTAAAATAAATTGGCATTAATAATAATAAAAAAAAAAAGAATCAATAATAACAATTAAATACGAAGGACACAACGAGTATACTGAAATAATTAATTTTTCACCGACAAAACGCACAAACCTATTACTAGTGTTGAGTAAGGTCCAAAATATTTTATTATATTGTAAAACCTTATCTTCTTAAACTTTGTCCACTTATTTATTGCCTGTTAGGTTCGTTTTAATGACCATATTTAATACAATATTAATTATTCTCTGCGTGACAGGCAAAAAGGTCCAAGTTTGAAATATTATTAATTAAAAAATTGTATAATATATAAACAAAAAATTAAAGACAAGTGGTAGGCGTGCGAGATGAGCTAAAACTATTTTTTCAAATAGACATTTACAGTACATCTTAATACTAGATTTGAACATAACAAAGTTGTTATGTTTTTTTAATAAAACATTAATTGTATAAATTGTTCTTCAATTTGATTAAACATTTTTTTTTTTTGACACTATGTTATCGACTAAATTGAGTTATGCCGGAAATATTATTTTCTACAATTTTAGTATTGATTGCTAAAATAACAACAAGTCTTTAGTACTACAGTAACATCCGCAACATATTGTCCAAATAACAACATTCGACCTCTAAACCGACACCCGAATATCCATGTCGGAGGCGTAACCCATTTTTAAGCTGATACAACATTAGAAACTTATAACCAATTAATGAATGAGTGTCCTTTGACATTTAACTTTGACATTCCTTGGACATTTTATTATAAAATATGACTATATTTCATATGTACATAAAAATATGGTAAAACTAAATTTTTCGGTGTCTCTGTTCACTGGAAGTGTTCAATTGGTTTTTATTTCCTCTGGCGTTCCTATAGACCAGAGTGTATATTGAGTGTAATGAGTAATGGCCAATGATATTCTATAGATAAAATCGTACACAGATCTTTGTACTGGACGTCGAATTCAAGGTTATTGTCAGTTAAGCGAATAATGTTAGGTAGGTGGATTTTCGATTTGAGCTCGTTGATCACGAAGTTCTCTTTAGAACACCTCCTCCTCGCTGTTTGGATTCGAATCGTTTCTTTGTCCGTCAGTATTCCGCATAATAAAATGTCAACAAAGACCGCAAGGAGCATATGCTAATGAAACGAAACACAAGATATTATAACGACCAGATCGTTGTGTGCGATACATACTTGATGATTATTTAATATACTTATACATAAATGTTACATTCCAGTAAAAATACCAAATAATTTTTTTTTATAGATATATCTTATCGTATTCCCATTAGGTCTAACATGTTTTAAAGTTAAACCACTGCTTACAACATCATCCATTTTTAATTATCTGTGCCTTCTGTGGGTAGAAAGGGTTAAGTTCCACACGCTTTCATCACACACAAATTACCAAAATTAACCATTTAAAAAAAATATATATATTATGCTTACAAATGTTATACCAAATACTAAAACTATTTTTTGAAAGTCAATATTAAGTTTAAAAAAAAAAAAAACTAAAGGTAGAAACTAAAATCAATAATTCAGTATGAGAAGTTATTCAAATGGTGTCAACAGTATTGACTCAATACTAATATTCAAGCATCACTTTTACCAAACGACAAACCTTTTGACTTAATTACCATCGTTTACAATCTTTTTATGTACTTTAGTGTTAGATCAAATGACGAAATTTGTAGAATAGATTTGTGGAGGGAATGACCATATAAAAAATAAATCGGTACATCTAATATTAAGCTGAGTATTTAGTTTAGTGAGGTCTAACCACTCCAGTACTTCTTCTTTTACTTCTCCAGGACTACTTTATATATATATATATCAGAGAGTGCTATTATAGAGAGGCTGTTTCACCTACTGCCCTCTCTCTCTCTTATAAGGGTTGTTATCTGCTATAGTTTTTCCAGACTTACTCAGTCACCTGATAAAAAAAACACTAACTAAGTAAAACCTGTCCAAGGCAAATGAATGTTTCTTACTGAAAATAAATTACAAGTTAATTAAATTACAGTTGATAACTTGTTCAAATTTCTGTCCAATTAATAAAATCCCTAAAAAAACAAGTCTGGTACAAGTCGCGCTTTCGGTAATGTATAAATTAATGCACGAGGTATTATTTAACAGCAATTAGTTTTGAAAGTTTAATAGCGCTTTCTATTTTATAGGTTAAATTTTGTAAATGAAAATAAAAAAACTTACAAGTGATATATTGCGATTGTATAGTTTATAAAGTAAAATAAATAACGAGCGAATGTGTCTTTGGCGTTGTTGAACTATCTAATAAAATATATATATTTTAATCAAGCATTGTTATACCGTGTTTGGGTATAGCACAGTCGACGATCAAATGTCGAAAGAACATTTAAAAATTATGTAATCATGTACAAGACGTACATAGAATTAAAAGTATCTATATTTGGCGCGTAACGCATAAATGACACATTTTTTAATTATATAACTGCATTATATCTGAATTCTGATGATAACGAATATTAATAGTGTTATTTTTTTTTTCGCGTCTTTTTTAATCGACAGTTTTAATTTTATGAAATAAATTACAGTAATCTGTAATAATACTATGCTTTTACTTTTTATGGGCTCCAAGTACGTCCACCACTAGGACTATTAGGAGGTCACTACGTTCAGTTTTCTCACGATCGGTGCATAAAATACATTACATTTTGCTATTTCCTAAAACGTTTGTTTGCTTTAAAAAAAAAAATCGTTTTTGTTATGTGTATAAGTGATGATACATATGGAAACATATAGTGTTGATAGTATATTATAAATACCTAATTGTGTACGCCAAATCCTCTTCACGTGTTATTTTTTGTGGATTTTCCAAAAATAAATCATGTTATGTGAACACTTTAAAGTAATTGATATTAGGTGCTCTCAACTTCCCACCGTTAACTATGTATACTTAATTATAATATAACAATGTAAACTCAAATCCGTTAAGAATGCATTTTTTTTTTCTCGAAATCGTATCTGTTTGTTTGTGAAAAGACACATTTAATTACGGCTATTATTTCTGCACCAGAACACAAATGCAAATGTTTTCATTTGTTCAACAAGTCGGTGATTTGAAGGTCGTAGGTAGTATAATTTTGTTTCTAGAAAATACCATACGTTTTATTCGAAATCATAATTGTTGGGCACTAACACTAATTAAAGGAGATATACGTTGTTTTTTTTTTTTTAATCATATGTATGTTTAATTACTAATAATTGTAGAATGAAGTACGAAAAATCATTGTATGTTTTTTGGTGTTTTGAGCACTGTAATTGTTGATAAAAAAAAAAACTCAAGGTTGTTGTTAAATTTCACACATACACGGGTACAGCATACAAACACAATATGGCCAGTAGTTGTGTAGGCATTGGACCATATAAAATTAGAAAGACTGACGTGGGTATTTAATCGCAGAAAAATTACCTGCCTTGAATATGGTAGAAACTAAATTATTAAAAAAAAAAAAAACACACTCTGTAAACAAAACGGTAACTTACCATGACTGATGAGCGATATTTAAATTATAAAATTTAATAATACGATTGTTACTTGTTTTTTGAAAAAAAACTAACAAATTAAATTCGTTTAAATACACCTACTCGTCGATTCAATACAAACGCTAATAAAAATAAAAATACATAAACATATTTCACAGTAACTAATTTCCTAAGAACTGTGTCTAATGTATGTTAAATTAATATTTACTTGAACATTTGAAATTGTCATATCGTGGTAAAAATGTATACGTTTTTGGTGCAACGTCTAAATTTAATAATAATAATAGTAACCATGTTTGTATGCATTGCATATTATTATGCAGAAGTTATACGATTTTTGGCGTTATTTTGAAATACAGCATAATAACTGAACGTATTACGTCACAGCCTCTCCTGAATATTATTATTATGCTAACATAATAATACATGGTCTTTTCACAGTAGTTTTATATTTTCTCTATTGTTTATTATCTGAATTGGTTCATCGTTTCTCCTTATTATTTATTTATGTATTATATATGATATTCTATACTGTATACCCGCAAGAGATTTTAAATTACCATCGTATCAAGTGACAGTATAATTAACAATTCCGCCAGAGACTCTTTATGCACAAGTTTGTTAATAAAAAAAAAAAAATAAA